CAAAATTTCTGAAAATTTAGTAGTCAGCTCTTCTTTTTTTTTTTTAATATATTTTATTGATTTCCCACAGAGAAGAAGGGAGAGGGACAGAGAGCCAGAAACATCGATGGAGAGAGATCAATCAGCTGCCTCCTGCACGCCCCCCAGTGGGAACGTGCCTGCAACCAAAGCACACGCCCCTGACCGGAATCAAACCTGGGACCCCTGAGTCCGCAGGCTGATGCTCTATTCACTGAGCCAAACTGGTTAGGGCTCATTTTCCTTTTTAAATATTGAAATACGGGTCTTCCCGGGAGCCTGCGGACTCTTGGCTGTCCCGTCCTCAAAATGGATACTTGTTGCACCTTAAGGAAGACAAATGCTCCAGTCCTGCCCCTGACAGTTCCTGTGGGTCCCCAGTGACCCCTACACGGTGCCCTGCCTCCTTACTCAAGGGGCCTTTGCATGTCCTAGTTAGTGTGGCCTGACCAAGGTGTGTCTCATCTCACCTCACGGTGGGGACACTGAGCTGGGACACACCATGTGTGGTGCACTAGCTAAGACAGAATTGGGTGACATTTGCCAAAACCCACCTTAGGGCGCTAAGACTGGGCTTCTGGGGGTTGGCTGGGGAAGGCGTCTGCCGGCCAGGTTGGGGCACATGCGCACCTGGCTCCAGGAAGCTCAGGAGGCACCGGGAGGTAGAAGGCAGAGGCCTTGCCTGCTCTGGGCCTGGGCTGTTCCCAGCCAGGGGCTCGTGGGTGAGGGTGGGCAGTGCTGAGCAGCTGGGGCTCCAACATCTCTAGAAGCAGGCAGGGGAGAAACAAGGCCTGGCTGGAGTGATCCCTTCTTCAGTGTCAGGGACCCTGAGGGGCCATCACTAGGCCCTGCCCACACTGGCTGCCCCAGCACTGCTGGGCCTGCAGACACCTGAGAACCTGAGCCCTTGTGACCTGTCACTTCCCACCCTCCCACAGCAGCAGGTCCAGGAGACGCAGACCTGGGTCCCCAAAAGCCTGGGGCCTGGGCCCAGTTCACAGCTGAGGCCAAAGGTACAGTCCATTTGGTCTACAAGCTCCTAGTGGTGCAAAGAACTCAGTGTCCGGGGAGGGCTCTGTACCGTGGGGCAGTAGCTCATTTCTCAGCTGCAGGAGTGAAGCCCGCAGCCCGCAGGTCTCACCCCCACACCCAGGCCCACCTCACCCAGTTCTGGTGGCCCAGCTTTGCTATAGCAAGTGGCAGTAGGCCATCTCCTTCATGGCCTGCTCCGTGAGGACGCTGGCCTCGGTGCTGCCATCCATGCCCGCATATGCATAGGCATTCTCCTGGAAGCCCTCCATCTTCTGCTGGGTATCAAGGTCCGAGGAGTTGGTGCCTGTCAGCTCCATCATGGGGTCTTGGCTGTCTAGGCCGATGTCCATGATGCTCTATTTGACCATCAAGGCCAGCTCAGGTTGCCCTTGAGGTTAAACTTGCTGGAGCAGTAGGGACACTGGAAGGGCTTGGTGCCCATGTGCAGGTGCATGTGGTCCTTGAGGGTCAGGATTTTAGGGAAACCTTATGTCTCTGCGTCTGTTGGCTGAGCCTGTCCATGTGCTTCCTGACCCTTGGTGCAGCCTCTGTCCTCTGCCTGGGGGACTTGCTTGTGGTTACCCTGCCTTCTTGCCTGGGGCTCTGGTGCCCAGGATGCCCTGTGTATCCCCATCACAGCACTGGGCACTGCATCCAAGTCCCCTGTGTCCCTGACTGTCATCTGCTCTAGGCCTCCCCACGGGCCCAGGATCTGGAGCAGCTCGACGTGGAGACTCAGCCAGGGGACCCTTTCGACTCTCAGCCCCTCTTAGGTGGAAGCACCCCAGATCTTGGATTCTCCTGACCCATCCTGCACGGGAAGTTCCCCAGGACATCATGGGCTTGTGAGATGTTTTCAGAGACACAGCCAGGTGACCCCACAGATCAGGGCCTTGGGGCACAGGGATTTGCCCCCTGATTTCTTTTGAGGTAAAGGTGGGCTCCTTCCTCCCATGGTAGTAACTCCACCTGGGTCCAGAGTCCAGAGTTTGTGCCAGGCCAGGTGTAACTGAGAAGAGGAAGGACACAGGCTGTCACCAAGACTCACCCTGGGGAGATGAGATGTCACTCACCCACCAGGTAGAGGTGGGGAGGGCTGTGATTTTGGAAGAATGAATGGGGGTCTGGCCCCTCACTGTTAGGAGACCCCTGCCCTCCTTTTTTGGGACAAACAGGGGCACTTGCTGGCCTCCTCCCATGCTGACACCAGGCCCTGGTCTCCAAGGGAACATTCTCTGACCATAGATGTCACAGGTGGTAGGATAAGAGGGCAGGTGCCAGGCTTTGATTGTGTGGTTTCCATCATTTACTTAATGGTGTCTGTGAAGCAATGTGAGGGTGCAGACAGGAAGAGCATGCTATCAGTCTGGCTTGTGTCTCATTTTCACTGATATTATTGTTGGAATGAGGCTTCTGTTCAGAGTCCCTGCCTGGGCACAGGGACTGGACCTTCCCTTTTGTCATCAGGGGTTATCTTAGATGCCAGCGCCCTGGATCCGCCTCCCCCTCTCACTGCAGTTTCCCTCCTCAGACTCCTGATTCCCTCCTTGCTCAGCACGGCCTCTGTGGCACAAGGTCCAGGCACTCAAAGTGCCAAGTGACCAAATCACAGGCCTCAGTAACCCTCTGGATGTCAGAGGCAGGTGCTGGGATCAGGGTCGCCTTATGGAAAGGGCCTCCAGGTTGGAGTAACCACAATATGTGGGGACTGGCAGGTCCTATCATGGTGTTTGGCATGTGGTCACAGGGTGCACCCGGGAGCACCCAGGAGCGGCCCTGAGAGCTGAGAGCCCTGTGGGTGCTTTCATGCAGTGATTCAGTTTCCAGAGCTTCCCGCTATCTGTGGACAGGCCCGAAAGCCCCCATTGAACCATAAAGAGGGGCTGGACTCTGCCAGCCTCGGGCCAGACCCATCAATCAGTGTCGGTGGATGCAGGGACATCAGGGCTTAGGGTCAGCATTCAGGGCACACACTTCTGTCTTGAGGGCCAGGGGAGCTTAGCAGTTATCTTAATCTGCTGCTGGTGGGAGGTGGTGGAATCTGGGTGAGCATCACCTAGCCTCCTCTACTTTTGCTTTTCAGATTTAAAGGGCTAAAGGGTAATAATTCCTACTGACAAAAAAATTAGGTGCAGAAGCATGGATACATGGACCAGGTCTCAGAGGGGAGGGTGTGGGGGGCAACAGGAAAAGATTAACCAAAAACGATATATGCATAGCCCGTGGACACAGGCAGTAATTGGGTGAAGGCCTGTGGAGGGGTGGAGGCCGGTGGAAGGAGAGAAAGGGTGAAGTGGGGGACATCTGTACTACTGTCTGCTGGAGTCCATTCATTGTCTTCACTAGCTGAGTTTAGACAGAGACCCCCAAAAGCTAGTAACCTTTGAAGTCCTAGCAAAGGTCAGGACTGTGCACCACGCAGTTAATCTAGGAACCACCCAGTTAATTTAGGTAATAATAGTTGAAGCATCCCCACCTTAGTTCACTTAATTCCTTAGATACTTATGTAGATCCTTGTTGATTATTGTTATTCAGATACTTTGCCTATTCCTGGAAATTGTCTGCTGATCTGTGTCATTGAAACCTCCTTACCCTAAGGGCTACTCCAGATCAATAAAAGATTGGAGCGGCCTGAGCATGGGTGGAAGTCCTTCGGGACTTGCCCTCCTGGTCCCCCAATATTGCAAAATTATCTTGTGTCTCTTTCTCTCATTTGTTGTGCGGCTCCTCTTTCAGATACCGAACCCTACTCCACGCAGAACGTGGAGGGAGTGTTACTTGACACTGTCAACAATGAAAATTGTTTTAAAATATGTAGCTAGCCTCTTGATAGAAGGGACTCTTACATCATTGTAAAATGAAAACAATGCACTGGAATATTCTTTAGAGGAAAGCCAGTAACCATTTTCCATTTATCAGTAACTGTGATGCAGGTTTAATTTTTCTAGTTCATCTCTGATAACACTTTTTGTAGTTTAGCTCTTAGGAAATGGTGAAAGCCTCCCATGATCCGTGTTTTAGTTCAAGAATGTGGATTTCATGTGGACTCTCCTGTGATTTTAAGCGTTCATATAGGTCACCTTCTGTGAACACTAGGCCATTTCCCTTTGTCTGTTTGTTACTCATCCCTGTACAGAGAGAGTCACATTTTCCCTGGAAAGCATCTGACCCCCACCATTAAAAAGAAAGTGTCCAGATGCTTCTGGTTGATGATGATGGCGCTGAAGGTGGAGGTCTGTTCAGGGTGGGCCAAGGCAACAGTTTTTGAGAACTTTTCCCTCAAAATTACCAGCAGAAGGCACCTGTCACATGTTGGGATGGAAGAAGGACAGAAACAGAGGTCGGTAATTTAGGTTTCACACCAAATAGTGGACAACATATTCTCCCCAGAGTCTGAGAGGTGGAGGGACGATGGTGAGGACACTACAAAGACCCCTACCCAACCCCTTAATGAGGGAACATTAAATGTCTTGTAGTTCAGAGAGGGGCCCAGGGATTGGGACAGGGGTTGTCAGTCCACAGGTGCTGGGAATGAGACCTGACACTGTCCATTTTGGGGGCATAAATTCATTTTTAAGTTATGATGTCAAAGTGCATGATTCTGAAAATATAGACAAACTCCTATGATAGAGTTTTCCTCTTAATAAGATGTTTCTTCCTAAGGATAGAAATACTGTGTTACTGCTAAGATGCGTGAGATGGTAGGAACATCAGAGTAGGTTGTCTAATAGAATGGCATATAGATTTGTTATTATTTAATTTCTCTTCTCAGTGTCTACAGAATTTTCCTCACCCAACTTTGCAGTACAACCCAGTGGTGTCATTCTGATTTGTGGGCACACCCTTTCACAACCCAGTCTTCCAGCCGGTGATCTAAGGCAGCCATCAGTCATCACCTCTAACTATGCCTCCTTCTGAACCTGAATGTGCCCTCTGTCCAAGGTCAGCCCCAATCTCTTAACTCTCCTGCCCTTTTCTCTCCTCTTCTAGCAGGAATAAGCCACTAGAGGGCACCCACACTCCTCCTTGAGCTCCTGGGGTCCTTTCCCATCACCTGAGACAAATAAATGCAAGTGTTTTTCCTGCAACAGCCCCCACCCTTCAAATACTCTTTAGATTTGTTCAGGGTGTAGCTCCTGCTTCAGACATCAGTGTCCCCAGGGGAGCCCCTCACATTGGGGTGTGGCAGCATGGACTGGGGACCTGGAACCATCACCAGAGCCTCACAGTGATGAGGTTCAGGGGCCGTGGGTAATATAGGATAGACACCCAGGGCCCAGATGTTCCTACACGAGGGGTGGTCACAAGGGACAATGGTCGTGAGCCTGTGGCTCTGAAGGCCTTGCCACTTAGCATCTGTGCACATGGGCCTTGTCTGGGCTGCTGTGAAATATTTCATACTGGGCCTTCCTCAGTGGGTGGTGGGTTCTCCTGGGTATTTCAAGAACCCTCCTACTTCAAGAATAAGGAGAGATGTGTTATTGGCCTTAGAGAGTCACATTTTCTCCTAGAGCTGGAAAGCATCTGACCACCATTAAAAAAGAAAGTGTCCAAATGCTGTTTATTGATGATGGCACTCACCGTGGAGGTCTGCTCAGGGTGGCGAGGGATGTCTCTCAGCACCTGAGGGAGGAGGTGGTGTCAGGCTTCGCCATCAACTTCAGATCAGGACCCAGGAAGTGGGAGTGTGAGGACCTTCCTGACTCTCCAAACCCTCCTCAGGACACCACTGCTGGGCTGTCTGTGGGGGACTCAGCCTCCCCTCCCCTCCCTGCAGTGCAGGACAGGGACCCAGAACCCTGTCATGTAGAGTGGACCATGCAGACACATAGGTGAGGGAGGGCAGGAGGATGTGAGGAGAGAGCCTTACCTGGAGGTGGGAGCTGTGAGATGAGGGCCAGCAGGAGGCACACAGCCTGCTTAGTGGCTGCAGCTGAGTCAGTGTGCCAGAGCGCTTCCTCTGCAGAATCCAGCCTTTTCCCTGAGAACATTCCATTACTTCCCCTTCAGTGCTCCCAGCTGAGGCCTCAGTCCTTCCCCACTCAGTCCTGCATCAACTCTTTGTCCCCCTCACCCTCAGGCAGCTCTGTCTGCCCAACTGCCCAGTCCCCCCAGGGCTGCAGAATGGTCATTGCTGCCCTTGACCCCACCATTGCTGCCCCTGACCCCACCAGTGTGGAGGCCCAATCCTGCCTCCCTGGTCAGCTGTGGGATCAGGCTCTCAGGCTCCATGTCCTGATTACCATCACCTGCCAGGAGGTGGCAGCAGCTGAACAAAGGGGAGATGCAGGGACAATTTTTATCACCCTGTGTGCCTGCAAGTGGACATGGGGGGAA